TACCTTCTCCATTTTAAAAGTCATCTGTATTTGTAAGACCAATACAAAGTGATGGTGTGTCATTTCCAAGATTAGGTTATGTAAATGACGTCGTCAATCATGGGTGCACTTTCTCTCTTGGATTGCTCTGGGAGAAGCCAGCTGCCACGTCATGAGGGGACTCAGGAAACCTATGATGTCTCTCCTCAACAGTTGGAGGAACTCAGTAAGGAACCTCAAAGGCCTACCAACTATACTGTGAGCTTGAGTAAGATTCTACCCTAGTCAAGCTTTTAGACGATACTGCAGCCCTGGCTGACAGTTCAACTACAAAGTCACGAGACCTTGAATCACAACCACACACACAGCCAAGTCACTCCCTGATTTTTGACCCACAGAAATGGCAATAATTGAGTTGCTGAGTTTTGATTACATACTAACAGGTTAACTTATTTCTTCTAATTAAACCATAGCTGTGATAAACTAATTTCTGTTACTGAGACAAAACAGGTATACTTTACACTGCCTCACAATTTCAAATTATGCACTATCACGAGATCAATGTGTTAAATTCTCAACTATAAAGTCCATAGTGGTCTAAATTATTAGTGTTTGATTAGAATTGTATTTTCATAATTTATCCCCAACAAGATCTGACAAATTTTTGGTTCTTTGACTTATAAGAGTTAAACATTATTAATTTGTCTCAATAAGGTAAAGAAAATTGGCAACAATATTTAAACTGCTGAAAAACCTGTATTGCTATTAGTTAATGGAACAATTAAAAAAAAATTTTTTTTTAAATTACTTCTCATAAGAATGACCAAGATAAGTTCAAAGATATTTCTAAAACTGTATCCTGCACTGCAAAAAATGATACCCGGCACAGACGTATCAAATAAATATTTGTTCAAGTGGGTGGTAAAATTTTACAAGCAATCAATTTCAATACACTGTGAATATAGCATAAACGCCATCAAATGTCAGCTAAACTAATGATTCTATACCAGAACACGGTGGAATCAATCTGTTGGAGTCGCCCTGCACTCAAGTCTCGGGGTCTCCTCTACTTCCTTCCCAATCTTTGGTGGGAAGATGCTATCTGAATTCTGAAAAGCAGTCAGTGACTGCTAATTCAAGGTGACAGCCTGACCATACAGCCTTTTCCTGTTAAGACTCTATTACTGAAAAGGGAAATGAAAAATGTTTACCACAATGACAGAATGGGAGAGAAGTGCGATGTCAAAGACAATGTATTTCGGGGCACCCGGCTGGCTCAGTCGTTAAGCGTCTGCCTTTGGCTCAGGTCATGATCCCAGGGTCCTGGGATCGAGCCCCGCGTCGGGCTCCCTGCTCAGTGGGAAGCCTGCTTCTCCCTCTCCTACTCCCCCTGCTTGTGTTCCTGCTCTCGCTATCTCTCTGTCAAATAAATAAATAAAATCTTAAAAAAAAAAAAAAAGACAATGTATTTCAAAAAACAGTATGAAGATGGAAAACAGATTAAGGAACAAAATCCTCAACAAAAAAGGTAAGCATATGCAATGGGAAAAAGACAGTCTCTTCAACAAATGGTGCTGGGAAAACTGGACAGTAACACAGAAAAGAATAAAAGTGGAACACCTTCTTACACTATACACAAAATAAACTCAAAATGGATTAAGGACCTAAGTGTGAGACCTGAAACCATAAAAATCGTAGAAGAGAGCACAGGCAGTAATTTCTCTGACATTAGCCATAGCAACAATTTTTTCTAGAATTATCTCCTGAGGCAGGGGAAACAAAAGCAAAAATAAACTATTGGGAGTACATTAAAAAAAAAAAAAGCTTCTGCACAGCAAAGGAAACAATCAACAGAAGACAACCTACTGAATGGGAGAAGATATCTGCAAATAACATATCCAATAAAGGGTTAGTATCCAAAATATATAAAGAACTTATGCCAACTATACACCAAAATAAATAAATAGATAAAAAAATAAATAATAAAAATGGGCAGAAGACATGAACAGACATCTCTCCACAGGAGACTCACAGATAGCCAACAGATGCATGAAGATGTTCAACATCACTCATCATCAGGGGAATACAAATCAAAACCACAATGAGGTATCACCTCACACCTGCCAGAATGGCTAAAATAAAAAACTCAAGAAGTCAGTATTGGCAAGGATTTGGAGAAAAAGGAACCCTCATGCACTGTTGGTCGGAATGCAACTAGTATATGCATGGAGAACAGGATGGAAATTCCTCCAAAAATTAAAAATAGAACTACACTATGATCCAGTAATTCCACTACTGGGTATTTACCCAAAGAATATGAAAACACTAATTTGAAAGGATATATGAACCCCTGTGTTTATTGAAGCGTTCCTTACAACAAATTATGGAAACAATCCAAGTGTCTGTCGATAGATGAATGGATAAAAGATGTGGTATATACATATACACAATGGAGTATTATTCAGTTATAGGAAAGAATGAAATCTTTCCATTTGCAACAACATGGATGGATCTAGAGAGTATAACGCTAGGTGAAATAAGTCAATCAGTGGGGCACCCAGGTGGCTCAGTTAAGTGTCTGCCTATGGCTTGGGTACTGACCCCAGGGTACTGGGATGGAGCCCCGCATTGGGCTCTCTGCTCAGGAGGGAGCCTGCTCCTCCCACTCCTCTGCCTACTTGTACTCTCTCTGTGTGTCAAATGAATAAACAAAAATCTTAAAAAAAAGTCAAAGACAAATACTATATGTGGGTGCCTGGGTGGCTCAGCTGGTTAGATGTCTGACTCTTGATCTTGGCTCAGGTCTGGATCTCATGGTTGTGAATCTGAGACCTGCATAGGGCTCCATGCTAGGTGTGGAGCCTATTTAAAAAAAAAAAAAAAGATAAACACCATATGATTTCATTTATATGTGGAATTTAAGAAAAAGAAACAAGTGAACAAAAAAAACCAGACTGTTAACTATGGAGAACAGATGGTTCCCAGAGGGGAGGTGGGTGGGGGATGGGTGAAACAGATAAAAGGGATTTACAGTACACTTATCTTAATGAACACTGACTAAAGTATAGAACTGTTGAATCACTATATTGTACACCTGAAACTAATGTAACAGTGTCTGTTAACTATACTGGTATTAAAAAAAAAATGAAACTTAAAGAGGAAAAAATAGGATGTGCAAGATATAAATCAGAAAATAACATTTAAGGAAATTAATATAATCACAAGTTATTTTGAAATGTTTCATTTATTTTTTTAAGGTTTATTTATTTATAGTAATCTCTACACCCATTGTGGGGCTCTAATTCACAGCCCCAGTATCAAGAGTCACATGTTCCACTGAGTGAACCAGCAAGGCACCCCTGAAATCATCGTTTTAAATTTAAGGACAGGGGCGCCTGGGTGGCTCAGTCGGTTAAGTATCTGCCTTCAGCTCAGGTCATGATCCCAGGATCCTGGGATCGAGTCCTGCATCGAGCTCCTTGCGCAGCAGGGAGCCTGCTTCTCCCTCTCCTGCTCCCCCTGGTTCTGTGCTCTGACAAATAAATAAAATCTTAAAAAAATTTTTTGTTTAAAAAAATAAATTTAAGGAGAAAAAGTGACAGTATTTATGCATTTAAAGCTGGTATGTAATTCATGATAGGATAGGGTGATACTGATCACTGTATTTTAATGTACTATGATTATGATGCCAAACTAAAAATAACTTCCAGCAAAATTTGGACTTTGAACAGAAATCCCACTATTTATGAAGAATGCTTGGTCTTTAGTGTAAATAACAATATTACATCATAATTATATAATGTGATAAATCGCTACAACAGCAATCATATCACAATAAATGTATCAAAGTAACATGTACACATTAAATTTATACAATGTATTATGTCAAATTTATTAAAAAAAAAAGAAACTTAAATGGCTACAGAGAAAGACTAAAACTAGAAATGGATCTTAAAGAACCCCTAATGAAATTTGGAACTTAGAGGAACCAAAATTGTGGAAGGAGCAAGGCTGAACAAGAAAATGGGTACAGAGTATATTTGTGGGATGTTGGTCTTTTTTTTTTTTTTTAAAGATTTTATTTATTTGACAGAGACATAGCGAGAGAGGGAACACAAGCAGGGGGAGAGGGCGAGGGAGAAGCAGGCTTCCCGCTGAGCAGGGAGCCTGATGCGGGGCTCGATCCCAGGACCCTGGGACCATGACCTGAGCCGAAGGCAGACACTTAACGACTGAGCCACCCAGGCGCCCCGTGATGTTGGTCTTTCATGTCCCTTCAGCCATATCATACATATGTAACCAGACCCATCATTTCCCAGCTGTGGGAACAAGTTTCTTAACCCCTCTGAGCATTAATTTCCTCATTTGTAATAAGACAGTAAGAAAATACCTACTTCATAGGATTATCACAAGGATTAAGTAAGTCAATACATGTCAAGGGTATAAAGCAGTATCTAGCACATGGGAAGCATGCAATAAGCATGGCTAAGTCTTTGATGCTATATGCTTTCTAATTAATTATAGGATATATATTACTTTAAGAATCACTAATTTAAATAAACTCACCTTTGGGGAACACATGAATGATGGAGAGAGAAAAGCACTTTCATCTTATGTGAACACAGCCCCATGATAATATACCTTGGCAACATCTTTGCTTAATATCACAGCACTGTTAATTATAACAACGAGTGTCAGAGATAAATACTCAGACAGTACAAATGGGAGAAAAAAAGGAAAGGGAGACTGAAAACAGTATATTATACTGTACTATATTACTGTATTGTAGAGTGGGAGAGGTGCCTTTGAAAGCTTCCCTCTAAGACTGTGAGTATAATGGCCATATACTGCTTATCCATGAACAAATAAGGAGCTGATCATGAAATGATTAGAAGCAAAACATAAAGGAGTAGACTGAAATGAGAACTAAAGCTCAACTATCCATAAAAATCACCTAAGAAACGTTATCAGGTATTTTATAGTTTGTGCTATCTGAAAAGCATTTATTACAATGACAAAACTAGAGGTTAATTACATTTTTATTATTGAATTATATTGTAAAGTCTACATCTACAATTTAATCAGGAAGAAATGCTTTGCATTTACATCAAGGACACATTTATTCTAGTGGAATAAAACAAACACAGACAAAAGACCAAGTACACATTAAAAGAAAAAAAAAAAAACAAAAAAACTACATGTTTTACCTGGTCCTTCTTTTACTATTTTGGACCATACCTTTCTATTAGAAAAACTGATCTTACATACATATAAGTTCAATTTATTTTCCCATATTTTTAAACATTAAATGCAGCTTCTCACAATTTCTAATCAAAAAGAAAAGACTGAAAACTATATAGGAAGCAAAGTTTAGAAACAAGGAAGAAGTAGACTGCTATTACTGTACTGCAGAAAAGAGTAAAATGTGCCCCCTCTGTGGCTCATCTCAAAGAAACACTTTTACTCAGAGAGGCAAGCATTTCTGATCTAGGAGTAAGTTTCCCACTCCCCCATGGGACCAGACCTACAAAAGTTTCTGATCAATTGCAAAGTAAGTGAAAAAAGTCTACAAAATATTTCAAAGCTAAACATCAGAATACAGCTAATGAAATCAAAATTGCGTGCTGGTCTAAATATACATATTAAGCTGTTTGCTTTTTAAAAAGTATCTTTTTATTTCAGATGATATTTAAAATAACTTATATTTTTAGTGTGCTTTATGGTCAATGACTGTAAAGTTGAAATTCATATGAATAAGTTTAAATTTGTTTTACTTGATTCTACTAAAATTTCAATTACCTACTACTTTACTTAACCAAGTTATACATGAGGTAAGTTTTAGTTAAAAAATAAGATAAATCAACCACAAAGATAAGTTAACCATTTCAAGAGTACAAAAATCATAATGCCCACTCCATATTCAGAGTTTATAAATTTATGTATTAACTACTTTGTATCTAAGAAAAGTTTACTATGTAATTTTAAAGTAAACACTTTTTGTACTTTTAAATCAAATTCTGTTGGAAAATGTAGGGAAAAAAAAAAAACCTGGCAAATTTTGTTTTTGGTAACAGAAGACAATGCAAAAATGAATCCAAATGGAACCTCAGACCAGTGTTTAAAGTTTCTAACTTCTAAACAGACACACACTTATTTATCTAAAAAATATTTTGGTAGCAAATTGGATTGACAGAATAAATGTTTTGCTGTAAATAAAAAGTACAAGTTTCCAATTACAGCCTTATAGCTAGCTAAACAGTTTCTAAAAACATGTACAGCCAGCTAACAATTCTCTAAAACATGTATATGCTGCACTAAAGATCCCTGCTAAAATATCAACAGCATTTAAATGGGTCTTACTGAACCAGGACATTCATGATACTAGAAATCTTTTAAAAAGTGAGTACAACAGGACTACAATAATATTACTATTAATAAAAGTTACAGAAGAGATTATTGCTGTATGTTCCTCCATAAACACATCAAACCTGTGGCAGTTACAAAAAGTACAACCCAAGTTACCTTTTTCTTACCAAATTTCATGTTTCACATATCTCTAAAGTTTTTATACAGCAGAGAATAATTCTTAAAATCTTTTCTGTAAGAATTCAAAGTATTTAATGTGTAGCTTCACATTATACTACCATGTTTTGCTCTTCTTGTTTTCCAAATACACAAAAACAATATACATTTTTCTCAAAAGTGAAATAAGATGTCCACATTAAAAAAATAAAGCCTACAAAAAAGTTCCAGAGCTAAAAAAGATTATTCATATGGCACGAAGTGATCTCCTACTAGTCCAAAGTCCAAAACATTTAAATGAAGTCCATTTATATATCCTTTTTGCTTTTCAATGGAATACTACATTTATTGAGGTGAAATCACATTTTTAGTTCTCGAGTCAACAAGTGTACACAAATGTTTATACAGTTATTAGAAAAAATAGGAGATCAAACTGAGTGTGCCAAAAGAGATATCATTCAGATGGATTTTTCAGAGTCATTAGAAAAAAATTGAGTGAACGGATTTCCTTGGTTGGTTTCCATAGCTTGATAGACCAAAAACAAAAAAATGGCCACAACAACAAACAGCAAAATTTTTATCCACGTGGGAATAGAGCGTCCCTTTTTTGTCTTTTCTGACTTGATATCTGCCAAGGGAACATACTTAGGAATATATTTAGATGAAAAAGATTCCTCCATCCTGAAATCACTGAGTTCTAATGGCCGGCCTGCAGCCCCTTTGATTGGTCTGCGGCAACTAGCACTGTTGGGAGTGAAAACAGGAAGAAAAAAATAAATTTAGATAAAAGTCATGATTTTGATATATAATATAAAATATAAAATGTCATTACCACTCTTAATTTCAAACACATTCCTTGAGATAATAGTAGAAAATTGTCACATGTAAATAGCCTATTTAAAATCTCTATGCATTTTTCATTTAAAATGTTGGATGCTCATTCTATTAGAAAATAATATTCAGAACACTGGTAAATATTCACTAAACTTGTCTTCTTTTCAGGGCCAGTATATTTAGGAGATAGAAGGAAAAAAATAAGGTAGTTTGGTTGTGATTCTTTCAGTCAGGAAACAATTCAGCTCTTATCTAAACAGTCTTTTCGATTAGAAAAGGGAAACCTTCAGGGAAAACAAGTATTTCCTTCGTACTATGTTTTTGTTTAGAGAAAAGAATTCGATGGTAAGCAAATTATTTATTATACTTCAGTTTATCAAAGTTAACTTTGAATCTGACTCAACTTTTAAGAATATGAACTAGTGACTTAGAAGAATTAAACTGCTCTCAAAAGAACAGTTTAATTCTGAGAACACAGGTACAATAACCGTGTGAAGAATTAAAAATTAAAATTCCTATATATGCATATTAAATAATCATGTTATACATCCTAAATATATACAACTTTTATGTGTCAATTACACCTTAATAAAAGTGAGAATAAGTAAATAAGTAAAAACACACTAGTAGAATACACTCATTCTTGTTTTAATGTATCTGAATACCTAATTCCTGTTGGTGTAGATGCTTCAAAGGGAAACATTTCCTTAAGAATATCCCTTTCTATTCTTCTTTCCTCTGTTTTTTCTCCCACCTAATAAGAAACAAACAACCACAAGTTAACATTTAGTATAAATGTGTAATTAAAACATAATTTATTTGTTTTATTTTTATTTAAAAAAAAAAAAAAAGCTTTCAGAGAACAGAGTGCATTCAAGTCTGCCCCAGCTTTTACCACTGCCCTTCCTGAATTCATTACCTAAGTACCCATATACTTCCAAAGCTCTCTTCAAATTTCTTCAATATGGAGATATGTTAATGTGGTAATGGGGGACTGCCACACATTCAAGCAAGTTAAAAAAAAAAAAAAAACCCGCAAAACTAAAATTCAGCACAGCTAATATGGCAGCATTAAGTTCCCCCACTGGATTTTCCCATGCTTTTCATTAATATTAAGAGTACACTGTTTCTTCTGTTGAGAATTTTGTGATAAAATAAATGATGAAATGTGGAAGATATCAAATTAACATGGATCTTTAACACACTTTAGTGTATCTTTTAACTACAGAGTCAATTCAATCTTCCTAACTTAAAAAAACCATAAAATGATTTTTTAAACAACCTGATTGTTTTGCTGTTTATTGTTATGCCCAGATCAAAACCACCTTTGGTGAAAATTCATTAAATGTATCATGCAGTTAGTACTTTAAAGCTTAATTATACAGGAGTTAATCAATTCAAGCATCATACAAAGTCCCATTAAAGTCCCATTATTTGACCTTTCGGTGAAAGACAGTATAGCCTTCCCAACAGCCCAGTAACACTTTCAACCCACATCAATAACAAAGAGAACATATTAGAAGCAGCACACAAATGAATACTCCCTTGAAAAGTGGAACTTAAGAGGCACACAGTAGCAAGCAGATAGTATTAGCATATCATACTGTATTACTTTCGATTGTCACTAATAAAAGTATGTCTTTAAAATTATACACACACACACACAAGCACACCCCACCCAGTTAAGAAAGCTCTGCTCCCTCCCACTGAAAAAAACAAATATAAAAAATTTCCTCTTTAAAAGATCAATGATAGCATCGATCTAAATTTTATGCATTTACTTCAGCTCTTGTCAATGGTTTCTTTGGTGTTCTTCTGGGTATGTCTGAGAATTCAGTGATTGGCAGAATAGGAGCTGCATGCTTGAAATTTCCAGTCACCCTATTGACAACCTGCCAAGATTCAAATTATTCAGACTCAGAATTATCCAAACATAGCAAAGACATGTAAAAAGAAAAAAAGATACTCTATTTCTGTAATATTTGAAAACTTCCCTTAATAAAAATTTAGGCAAAAGAACCTAGAAATGAACATATTCAGTACTTCTCATGTGAAGCCTTAGCACTCTAAATATTTTAGCAAAAAAGTTTCCTTACAATACTTAGAGGTAGGATTCTTGTACAAATTTATATATATATATATATAACTTGGCTATACTGAAAAATTCTAAAATTCAGAATTATATGGGGAAAATGAGTTTAAAATATAATTGTTTAAAACACAAGTTTGAGATTTGCCAAAATTTACCACCTCCCCAATTCTAATTAAAGGGTAATTTACAAAGAATACCACTTGTATAGTTTATGAAACATATTTACTAAGGTTTCGTTGCTTGAAGCCATTATAGTTTCAGCTATGGGAGTACTCTCTGAAATTATTGCACCATCTATACGAAAATGTTCTGAAGTTTCCACCTGTTAGTTTGAAAACAAAACAAAAACAATAAATATAAAATAATCACTAAAACCCTACCAATCTGAAAACCCAATTCTAAGCAATAAGCCTTGCATCACCCTTTTCCTTGGAGTTCTTCTTGACCCTCTTGTGGATTCCCTAGTTAATGCCTGCAGAGGTCCGCCTTTTGAAGATCCACTTGTCCATTCAGTCTCAGTTACTCCAGCTTGAGAATAGCTCTATTCAAGCATCGACACATTAAAAAAGTCATATTCTAATATCAAACACCTTAATGATGGCCATTAGCTAGCACACTGAGAAGTCATGAAAAATCTCCAAATGCTAGCATTTACAAACAATGCCATGCCCTCAAAGTATTTCTAAATGTATTGACTGAACCAATATGTAGGCATCGGAAAACACTTAAACTATGGTAAAATACACAGGAGCTCACAAATTGTAATAAAAGCAAGAAGAAAAAAAGCACATAATTTATCACCAGCTCCTTCTGTGACTTGCTGTTTGCTATTTGACTCTCGTATCACAACTGCATCTCTTTGGCTTTCTAAACAAAAAGCAGGCTGATCATGACTTATAAGAAAGTCATTTATTATAACAAGGCAGTTTCCTTTAAAAACAAAATAAAATTTTGTAATTGTTAGCACAAATTAAATGTTATCTTTTTCAAGTAGTTAGGATTATTTAAATAGCTTCAGTTTAAATTATAATCTACACGCAGCTATCTGAACTTAAAAGTTCCCAGGTGTCAAACTTTTTCTTAGAAACAGATATTAATATTGAGCAACAAAAACCTGGTGGTCACCTCTTTCACAAACTGGCAAGCTTATAACGTCAATGCCAAACCCAATGCTTACCCACTCCTCACTACAGAAAGATACCAATAGTGATGGGTCACTGGTATCTTCTAGTCTCAGATTTCTATCTCCCTGAAAAGGCAACTGATTTTTCCTCATTTAAAAAATAATTCAGTAGTCCTTACATAATAGTTTGAAAACCACTAGACTAGTACTTCTCAAACCACAATATGCGTATCAATCACCTGGAGCTTTTGTTAAAGTGCAGATTATGATTCAGCAGCTCTGGGGTAGGGCCTGAGATTCTGCATTCCAAGAAGCAAGTTATTCAACTTTGAAGCTACTATTACCAGATAAATTAACCAGAGAACATCCATCAGTGATTAGTATTATACTAGAGTGTGCTTATATTGTCACTTCTGCTTTCAAGCTAATAATTTATCTAAATAACTGTTGTTTTTATATTTAAGTGAGTGCCTATTAATTTTAAAGACAGATGTATTTTATTCTTATCCTGGGACAAGAGCGCTTATCCAGTAAGAATGTTTATTTCACTGGAAACATTACTACAAGAATCCCACAAGGTACAAACATAGTCTCATAACTAATTTCGTATCTATTTATATTTGGGATTAACATTTTAAGAGTTTCTCTTTAACTCGCAATTGGAAACTCTGGGTTCCTTTTCCTGCTATCAGTTAGGAAATACTTGCTGAATGCAAATTTAAGGTCAGTCAAATCTGTTAAGTTACATACAAATATGATAAATGCTCATTAATAGTTAAATTCCTGATTATTTGAATAGGAAGGAACAATAGTTTTAACCTGAGGTTCTCAATCCTGGCAGCACAATATCAACTGGGGTGCTTCTGAGAAGTATCAAATGCCCCCAACCCTACCTTGGTCCAATTAAGTCAGAATCTCTTCTAGAAGGGCCTTGGGCATAGTTAATTTTTACAACTCCTGAGGGGATTCTAATGTGCAGCCAGCGTTGAGAACACATGGTTTAAGATATTATAACTGAACTGTGATGCATCTCAAAGTCAAGTATTTTCTTATAATTACTTTCAATTCTGCTTCCTCTTTCATAGTCAATTGTTGCTCAGTGCCAGTAAATTAGAAGCAGTATTTTAAAAATATTCTGGTTTGACAGTCTATCTGGTATTATCAGTGTATACTAAGTATTTTAAAACTCTTCGAAGAATTAAAACTTCATTTCTTTTTTTAAAAAAGATTTTATTTGAGAGAGAGAAAGTGCGCGGGCGTGCTTGCCCAAGTGGGGGGGAGGGGCAGAGGGAGAGGTAGATGCAGACTCCCCGCTGAGGAAGACCCTGGTATCATGACCTGAGCTGAAGACAGACACCCAACCAACTGAGCCACCCAGGTGCCCCTAAAACACTACATCTTTTTTTTTTTTTAAGATTTTATTTGAGAGAACGACAACAAGAGATAGAGCACAAGTAGGGGGAGTGGCAGAGGGAGAGGAAGGGGGGAAGCAGGCTCCCCACTAAGCAGGGAGCCCAATGAGGGGCTTGATCCCAGGACCCTGGGATCATGACCTGAGCTGAAGGCAGATGCTTAACCGCCTGAGCCACCTAGGCACCCCTATATTTCTTTTTTTTTTTTTAAGATTTTATTTATTTATTCATGAGAGACAGAGAGAGAGAGAGAGAAGCAGAGGGAGAAGCAGGCTCCCAAGGAGCAGGG